TCGGAAAATGGATACCCAGGAGGTGGTACCCAAACTCAATATGAATAGTAAAATTACTATCCAAATTCGTCTCAAATCCAATTATAAGATATTCTAACCTTATATAATTGAGTTGAGTATCCGCAAATACCCTGTAATAGGATTAATCATTTAAATGAATATAATTTTATTATCTTTATTTAAGTTATTCATGGTCGCATTTTTATATTGCGATATGTCTTTAATTTTGATTTTTAATATTTATAATAATAATATATATTTCTTAAAATATTCATAAAAATAGACAAAAATAACTAAATTAGAAGTCATTTATTATTTTATTTTATTTTATATCTGATATTAACAATTTGCTACTAAAATCATTAATGATTTTTATTGATTAATATTTAATTTTCATTTTTATTACATTGATTATTAATAGTTATTTACCATGAACTATAGTTACAACTTACAAGGATAACAATATATAGCAACTACTAAAACTATAATTAAGTAGTAATACGGTTAAGACCACGCATTTTAACTAGCATTGTTGTTAATTATTTTTCTAGTTTATGGAGATTTTTATTTTTAAAGTTACTTTAAATCTATTAAATTATTAAATTTATTATTTGGTAAGAATGAAAAATAAAAGACAAATAAATTGAAATATTTTATGTATGATGTATAATTTTAAAAAATGAATTTAATTGTAATAATAAAAAAACTATTTTACTCTTTTTTTTAATTACAACAAGGATATTGAAACAAATCAAAATTAAATAAGAATAAGAAATATAAAAGTAAAGCATAGAAATTTTATACCATCTCCTTAAGTTACTCATAGATTAATAGTTTATGTTACTAATTAAATTAACATTAGGAAGACAAAGAGTAATAATTTATGTTATATTCATTAATTTTAATCAAATTAACATTTTAAAAAACAAAAAATAGTACTAAATTTAAGTTTGCATCACTTCAAGGTAGTAAAGTTTAAATTGCTTCAAGGTCAAGCCATTTCTCATTTGGATGAATTTGAATTTAGATTTAATTCGAACATATATATATATATATATATATATAAATTTGAGTTTGGGTTGGGTGAATTTGGTTCATTGATTTTTTTCTAATCAAATAAAATTTAATCAAGTTTAATCGTCTCTAGTTGTAATTGTATTTTATGAGATAAAACAAGTGTTTGTTAAACATTTCAATATTTAACAGTGTAATTATCATATATTCGGGGTTTACATGACTTGATTCTAGCATTTGGAGTCAGTAGATTTGAATATAAATTTATGCACTAGTGCCACCCACTAAATGCATGCTACTAAAGGAAAGGAGCAAGACATGTACGGCAGCGGTCGGAGAAGGTCCTCAAGATTTAGCATCCTAACCCTAGCACCTATAAACCAAAGGCAACGCAGCAAACAGAGTAAAAAAACGGACTTGATTGGATGATCTTAACCACCCAACAGATCTCTGCAGTGTCCAACAGGCAATAGGAAATTCCAAAAGGCATTGTGGTTGGTCAAACAAATAGTATATTAAAACAGCAACACATGGTGTGTAAAATTAAAGTGCTGCTGCATTGCAATTAATATCAGCTTCCATAACTACTTGTCCTGCACATGCCCGCCACATGGGGTGAAGGAAGGGTAGACTTGTTTGATTGTCTGGACGGCCACATGCAACACTCCTACATAAGTGAAGCAGGGTTCTGTCCCCGATAAACATGGAAAAGCAAATTAGACAAGGGAAAGAAGAAACGAAGGTGAAGGTGATTTTTCAGTTTGGGACATAGCACCGGATGGCTAATTCAGCAAATCGTTGGCCCTTTTTAAGCCATGTCCACTCCACTGACAAAGACAAGCATTGTGAAATTATTCATCTATGCATCTGTTTGTGGCTGTGCAGAATCTATATTCCATAGTTAAATGGGGGGGCGAGCAGATCACAATTCACAAGGGAAGGGAGACAACAGTTCCGTACCATCAAGTAAAGTTTTGTAAGACCCACCTGTTTCGGAAACTTGCGCATGTGAATGGGATCTTTTTAATGGGATTAAGTTAATTCTATAAGAAAAGCATATCACTTTCTTCTCTTTTTTTTTTCTAGTGAAAATAAAATAGGTAAATTTTACCTACATTTTTTGTAGTTTCAATTCCTTTCCAGGACCTTTTATGTTATTTTGTAATTAACATCCAGTGTGTGGGAGATAGACTATTAATTTTATTAAAATACATTCAATTCAAAATTAGATTATTTATTTAAATTTAAGAATATTTTTGTAATTTTATTGAACAAAATCAATATTTTAACTTTTCGTTAATGTAAAATGTAGAGAAAAAACAACTATATTTCATATTGTGCACATAAAAAACAACATTATAATGTAGTATAGATACTATAATTAACATTATAATACATATATTATATAAATAAAATAAAAAAACAACACATCAATAGAATGTTTTATGCTTTAATCATATATATATATATATATCAGTTTGAACCCAAAAAGAATTTACTTCCCATGCAGGTTGAACCCAAAAAAAAAAAACTGAAGAATAATTGAAGAACTAAATATTTGGGATTTGAGGTTAGGGTTTTTCCAATTTGGGGGCTTTGGGTTTCGAATAGGGAATTAAGGAATGGGAATAGGGAAAATCGGAAAAGATGGAAATTGGTCGAGGGGTTCGTTTGGAAAGGCTTAGGCACAAAACATGCTGGAAAGTCACGGAATCAGTGATAAACAGTAAAAACGACTTACATTTTCAATCAAAAGAAGTAGAAACTGTTTTCTGTTTCATGGGTTCTTTTATTTTTATGGTTGCTACCAAATATCAAACTAGGTTTGTATTGGAGTTGTCAGAGAAAGAGATCACATGCGTTATGTATTTGTAAAGCTGAGCATCACCTCTAATATTAGATTGGATCCACTTCATCTTGACGTGGTCCAAAAGTGAGTGGACCCCTACCCATCCCGGATTTACTAGCACTCATTTCTGAGGGTTATCCTTCTCCAGACTATTGACCCTTATCATAGAAACAAGACAAAAACAAATATTTATAGATTTTGTTTGCTCAACATCATTCTTATTTTATTGTCATTCATATTTTTCTCAAGGCAAGGCGGAAACAGCTTTAACAACGCCCTTCTTCATAGCTTCAGGCCTTTCCCTGGAATACGCCAAATTTGACTGTCCTACGTTTGAGGTCCTGTATAAATCGAGTTACATTTGGGCTTTTAGATACAATTGTAACCTTTGGAGAATGGACTCATCTGCAGCACAGCACTTAGGGCCCAGCAAACTCAAGTTTAGGCTCAACTTAGCCCTGCAGGCAAATTTTTATTCATCCAAAGAAGCAGGCAAGGCAAGCCTGCTGCAAACTGCGCCAGGCAGCAAACCTGCTTGTGACAACAAACAAATTAATGGCAAGCATCAGCTATGCAAGTATATCTTCCTCTAGGCCCTCCCAATTTTTAACAAGCAGTCTATTAATTCTGTCCCCTGAAGTATGCTAAACTCCTTTAAGCCCTCATCTAACAGCTGTGTCGACATTGGAAGGACCCCCAAGACCTGATTCTTTGCTTAGTAGGAAGCCTGTCAAGAATAACCATCCAAGCAATAATGGCACGTCTAGGGATATAATATTGAAACCTTATAACCCTATGCCATTCCATCTTCTCCTGCCTAGCTATGTCAGATTGCATCCCATCTTGGAGCTGCACTATATCTATATGAGCACAATTCAACCAAGCAGCCTTCCCACTCTGCAGCCTGACAAAAGGAAAGGGCAGTGTTCCCAAGCTCTGACTTTAGAGAAGGTTGAATTTGCCATAAGTTCTTACGCTTGAGCATGCATGCTGCTTCTGAACAAGACATTATGCAATGCTTTTATATATGAAGGCCAAGCCCATCTTCTATCTATATAAAAAGATTGATGTAAACCATGAAAAATTAGAAATTCGATAATTCAATCTTAAATATTTTAATCGAAGGTCTCAATTTTAAATTATTAGAAAAATACAGTAAAATATTATACGACCTTAAAATCTACTGAAGTTTTTAATTGAAATAAAAAAATTTATTGAAAGACAAAGGAGAGTTTTATTTAAGTCTGCTGTCACATTTTTGCACCAAAATGCCCTCAAATTTCTTAACAGGTTTCCATTGAGTTAAAACTATGAGTTCTTTGTGGGCTTCTTTGGAAGGGGAGAATAAAATATGGTTGCATCCATTACCGCTTCTCTTTGTCTAAGGACGGACCCATCCCATAACTTTTCTATGCTCCACACCATCATTTGTTATCCTATTTTGCGCTTAAGGACGGAAAAGCTCAGAACTAGGAAGCGAGCTGCACAGCATTTCTCATTTTTCCCGCTCAGCAAGCCAGCAGTAAGCACTGCTATTTTAGTGCAGACAGGTGAGGCAGAAGAACAGGGCAGAGTTGTACATATTTGACTAAAGAGCATACAGTATACCATTACAATATACGTAAGTAAACCATTGAACTTGGATTTCCTATTTACCTGCCAATGTCAAATCTCCCTGGAAGACCATCTTTGGTATTTGTTTTGCCTTTAAAAAAAAATTACTTCAGATTTGCTAATTAACGAGGTTACTCTTTGCGTCTAACAAAGTCACTGGATTGTCAATCGAGATGCCTTGAGTAGATTCTAAGAAGCAGAAGCATCGTTGCTAGGCTTCTATAAAGTAGATTGGAGAGGAAAAAAGAAGAAGATAAAAGCAGAAGAATTCAAGCATCTGTTCCTGATTTAGAACGAGTTGAAGATTCTCAATTGGGAGGGCTCAATAACATTTCTTCAACCATATCTTTTTGTTCGATTGTTTGTCAAAATTATTTAACCATTGACTAATCATTTTACAAGTAGTTGGTTGGGATCTTTCAAACCCCAAATAGCCTATAGTCCCTGCTTTAGAGGATACAGTTTAGATCAAACCTGTTACTCGGAGGTGCCTTGATATTGCTAAGATAAAATTGTATCGTCTGCAGGATACAAGTGTATATTTGTCATTTTGAATCTCATGAATTTATGTTTGATGCAATTTGACTATATAATCTTATATATTGATAATACATCAAATATAAACACTTAGCTCTGAAACAAGATTTTCTTCATCATCTCTTTGAAGGAAGAAATCTCGTGTATGTAGACAAAGCTAAAAAAGATCCAATATTACAGAGAGAATACTAAAGTTATCTGAAATTAGCTCTGTTGGCCGCATCAGGATACCGAATGACTATCGCACATAAGAAATATGCAGTAATTTCTGTAACATTCTAAATTTCTACTTCAACATTCAAAATGGAAACCCTACAGTGTCAAAAACAGAACGCTACTTTGGACATGTAAAGCAAACAAGCGATATTTTCCCAACAAAATTGTTGTAGACTATAATAACACACCTCAAAGTTTAACAAGAAGCAAACCAAATCCAATTTCCAAGCCATTGTGCTCTTCAGAACTCATCTGCATGCCACAAGCCAAGGAGATAGATTATGCTAATGTTGTAGGAATTAAATTAGAACAAGATCAACAAGAATTTGCTTGTGTTTCGTGGTAAAGAAACCAGAATACTAGTCAAAACTATATAATTCTATATAACCCTAGCTCCAGCTAGTTAAATAATCAGAAAGCTGTTTCAGCTTTTACCTCTAATTTCTCGTCTACGAAGACAACATAATGGGGTTCGACTACCAGCTTTTAAACTTAATTGACTCGGTACTGACCAAAATTGAGCTGTTCTTCTTCTTTAATGCTTGTAGCTACTGTTTAGATCCTTGGGAATCATCCTTATCAGAAAGCTGCTGCTGCTGATTCAAGGAGCCTACACCACCTCGCTGCTGCCCCATCTGCTGGTAAAACTGGCTAAAAGCTTGAGAATTCAACACTCCAAAATGCGGATCCTGTGAAAGCCCAAGCTCCAAACCTGGAACCTGCTGATTGCTACCATTAAGCAACGAGGAAAAACTCACAAAACCCATATTCATATGTGGGAATTCAAGCCCATGGAACCCATATTTTGGGATGTTGTTGGAGCTTTCACTTCCAAAATTTGATGCTGATGTGAGTTGCACTGAACCTTGAGCAAACCCTGATGCCATTCCATTAATAGAAGGCCATGCCCCACTTGGAATGTGAGATCTTTCTATATTTCCACTCATCATTGGCCAGTTGTTCCTATCTCTGGACCCAATACCTGACACAAGTCCTTCGATTTTGGTATGCAAACCTGCTGGAACAGAGTTTCCCTGCTCAGAAACAGAGGTTCCTGCAGCTGCCAGAGCTGAAGCAGGAATAGTCCCAGTTCCAGTTGCAGCTATGATCGATGGTTCAGCTTGCTGCAACAGCCACTGAATCGTCTCTCCATCGGATTTATGACCCAATTCTCTGGTCAATTGAAAAATCCTGGCCGCGCATAGAGCTGGCATCCTTATTCTCCTACCTCTTCCATCAACTTTCTTGTGCCTGTCTTTGTTTGAGTTTCTCTTGGGTGCTAGTTGCTTCTTGTTATCATCTTTGCTCGCAATCATGATTTGGAAGTTTTTGATCTCTGCAGGCTTGTTGTTCTCTGCCATGTTCGCCTTTTGGGGAGGAATCAAGAAGGTGGGCACCTCTTGTGGATGATGATTTGAGCCTTTAGGTTCCATGTAAACATGGGAAAAAGAATTTTTGGGCCTTCTTGATTGGAGAAGGTGACCTCTATTGGACTTTGCTTTCTTACCCTTTCAATGTAATTGTCAAATGTTTTGGCTTAATGTTCAAATATTGGAACCACAAAGTTTCAATTTAAAGTTACCACTTAATGATTTTATGCCAAATTTTTTTCTCTGGTTCACTTGAGGAAAAAGAAAAATAAAAAAGGTTAGCTTTTATCATTCTCTCCCTCTCTGTCCTACTTTCCCTTCCGAGCCTGTTACTCTTTTGACTAGAGAAGATATCATATTATTACCTAATTCAGGTGGCAAATTCTCATCGCCATAGAAAGCAAAGTTAAAACCCTCAATATAATTATGATATAATTTAATTAAATTAAATATCCCATATGGGATAGCAGGACACTGAATTGTACTATTGTAGGGTAAGAAAAGTAGAAAACTAGGAGAAACAACCAAGCAACAGATGGGCCTCTTGAGAAAGAGAACAGGTCTTATTCATTTCCCTATGGTGATATAACATGAGAACCAGGTAAAAATCATATGACGCAGCACAGCCTAGGATAAGAATTGAGTCCCCACCTTTTAGTTGGGGATTTGCACCTTCTTCAGCAAGTCATAGACAGTAAACTGTCAAGTCTCCTATTTTAAGTTTTCTTTTTTCTTCTCAGAATCCTATCATTAGAAATAATGGCAATCACGCGTCTTTTGTGCCTAAAATTAATAATCAATCTCCACACGGTTTTAGATAATGCTGTGTCTCGAGGAATGAAGCACTGGGTTACTTCACTGCCCTTCTTGAAAGGGAAGAGAAACTGAAGGGAATGCGTCCACATGCACAGGAGATATGAAGTCATGGCCAGGGCTAGCTGCAGCTAACAAGTGGGTCCTTGAAACTAGTCACCTCCAACTTTATCTACTAGACAAGCAAAAACTGCATAGTCGGCAGTCAAATTTCTTTATATATATAAATATATATACATATTTGAAGTCAATAATGGAAAGACGCCCATCTTTCTGCTAAGTAAATATGTGAAGTAAGCATTTCAGCCAGGCCTATCAGCCAAACGGAAACTAGAGTTGAGTGGTGATTCAACTAATATAGTCTCAAGTATTTAACAAGATTGATAAAACCAAACCAAAACCATGAAGTTGAACAACAGGGAAATGAAGGAGAGAATTAGCTTTTTCTTGCAGAGGGTAGGTTTGATCCATGCGTCTACTTGAGTTGCATCGTTTTTCTTATGTTTGTTGGCCACCATGGGGACACATCGGGGCCCTTTCAAAAAGTTTGCTATTGACATATCACCCAACATCACTAAAATTTGAACCTTTGTATCAGAAAGTTGTCACTTTAGTAGGTTTGAAAAGTTGCTTCATAAATTCAGTATAATTAACCTCGATACTTTTAAGTGCTTTAATTGTCTCCATATGAATGCCATTGGTTTTGATTAACCCCAATTCATTTCCTGTCTCACCATGTTTCATTGATCTTACTCCAAAATCAACCCAGCTTTTGTGGCTTTGCCACCGCCAGTTGAAAGAAGTTCATTCTCTGTGAAGAAAGTTGTCAATGCAGATCACAAGGTTGATCCTGGAGGCTGTTGGGTCATATATTTGTCTGTACAATTAATGTTTTGGGTATGTATAGTCAATATTTGTATGCTTTAACTCAACAACTTGTTCACCTTTTCCTTGTGTTTTTTCATATTGGATACATCTGGGATCCTCCTTTCTTGGTGCCTGGACATTTCAAGGTCCCATTCATTTAAGGTTGTGAATCAATTCCGGTCTATTCTTCGTTAAAACTTAAACCTGCTCTTCCAAATATGAGTTGAGATGTTATCAACCTCAAATGCCTCTTAAAAAAAATTAATTGTTTTTGTTCTCAAAAGTAAAAGTGATATTTTGTTTCTTACATTTCGAAAAAGTAAAAGCCAAAAATTTTCTGTTGAATAGAAATCAAGAAAAGCAAAGAAACAAAGTATCATAGTCTTGCAAAATTAAGTCATTTGAACCAATAATCCAGAGTGTAGGGGGTGGATGCTCTGCCCCTTGGCCTAGGAGAAATTCCCTCTTGTCAGACTTGAGTAGCAGAGCACAAAGGTCACACATCATGCAAGTGGTTAAAAAACCTTTCAACAAAAGGAAATGTGAAAGAAAGCAGCCCTCCCCAGAAAATAACAAACGAGGCATGTGATGGCTGGCTTTAAGGAAGATGCGTATTGCACAAAATTACAAAAGCCATCGCAGTTGATATGATCGAGAGTGGCCTTTTTTTTTTCTTTATTTTTATCATTGTAAAGCAGAATTAGATATTCCTCTACGGTTATGGAAACAGACAATTATCTGTACCCGAAATCAGCCCCCCCATGCCTCATCCTCCAGCATTCACAACAACCTCCGAAACTATTCCCCTTCACCGCCGATTGTAAAGATGAAATCCCTTTTTTCTGTTAGGTTTTATCCCGACTAGGGGCTAACCAATAACTACAACTCTTAGGGCCAAGTTTCCAACAACTTTTCGGTTTGGTTGTAGTTCTAGAATAGCATTTTTCTCCCTTCTCCTCAATCAATGGTTGCACCGTTAGTGTACATGGTACACAGTGCACATACAATCTATCGTCCATCAGTCTCTTCAATGTCGCACCCAAAATATTACTCCTAGTAAATGGAAAATGCATCGTGCAGGGGTTATTGATCCCTACACTGCCCAACTACGATGACATTAATTGTCTTTCATTTTTCCTTAATACAGACGTACAATAAAAGAGACGTCGTGAGCACAAGCAACTTACATAAACCATTGGTTAATCTCAGTGCGCACGCTTCTATCCAAGTCACATCTATGTTCTTCACTTTATCGATAACGTTCGGTTCTGCCTTCAAAGGCAATATTTTTTTTTTTTATTAAAAGGAAAAAAAGGCGGGGAGAGGAGGAACCCATTTCCTTGGGAATTTCATGCTTTTTAGATTTAGCAAAACTGGTAACCCTGCAAAAGTATCAATGGAAAAAATCAGATTTTTAATACAAGAATCGGAAGGATGTTCATTACATTTACTTGCACAACTGCATGCTCCTAGCTAGTTGGCACCGTATTGATAAATAAAACGTGGATTTCGTAGCAGTTAAAAACTTTTGGGCAAGCTTTTATATAGATACAGCAAAGCTTCCTGCAATGTTGAAATGTACCTCACTGATCTACACCAAGATCACCCCACCGGACACTGTATCTCGCTGCAAGATAATGAGCCCCAACAGGGCCACGGCTTCCATAGGGATAGTACTCGGGTATAATTTTTTTCTCTTCCAGCTCCTTCAAAACAGGAGTGAAGAGCGCCCAAGCAGCATTCAGCTCATCACTTCGGATAAACAGCCTCCTCTCACCTTCAATCGCATCCAGCAGAAGCCTCTCATATGCGTCTGGGATCTCTTTGGAATATCTACAACCAACAAACCCATAAGTTCAGTTTGGATCTTTTTTTTTTTAAATTAAAAAAGCCACTAAAGCAAGTTCTAAATTAGTCGCTGTCTATATGACAAGTGTTCTCAAATGAATAATAAGAAATGTACAATCTGCACGTGCTTCTAGATCTCCATCTTTAAACGGTAAAGACCAACTACATACAGCCATCTATCCATATAACTAACCATGCAGATACTGTAGAGCTCGAAACATCAAAATATTGAATCCTTTATGTTAATACAAAAGCAATTTTTAAGTATACCTCGCAGCATAATGAAGATTTAGGTTACTGCGGTCCAATCTCATTCCCAACCCAGGGACTTTGTTATTGATCTTCAAATAAATAGCTTCATCTGGCTGCACTCGAATGACAAGCTCATTTGTAGCTCGATCAAGATCAGTTCCAAAGTTTCGGTTATATAAATTGCCAGGCACATGCCTGAACTGTACCCTTATCTCTGCCCTGGAGATGAAAGAAATCTTAGCGGCATGCATGTATTAAATAATCCAAATCCCAGATGGAATATATATGAATTCAAATTTCTTTACCAATTCCGTTTACCTCTTATTGTGTAATGCCTTTCCTGCTTTCATTAGAAAAGGCACCCCATCCCATCTTGCATTGTCTATGAAGAGAGCAGCTGCTGCAAAAGTTGGAGTCAAGCTATCTTTGGGCACAGTATTGTCATCAGTGTAGGCAGGGTAAGTTATGCCTCCTTTAGTGTGGCTCTTGTACTGTCCGATAACTACATCATCAAGTTGTAAAGGCCTCATTGACCGCAATACCTTGACCTGAAACCAAGCAAGCAGTTTATTGAGAAATGCAAATATAGAGATAAGATCATGCTATCACATCTTAAAATAGCCCATATCAGGTTACCTTTTCATTTCTTATATCCTCAGCATCCAAACTCACGGGGGTTTCCATAGCAAAGAGAGCAAGTATTTGAAGCAGATGATTCTGCATTATATCTCTAATAATTCCATAATGATCAAAATACCTAGATAACCAACAACAGAATCAAATGGCTCACAAGTCTTAAGCATAGTTTGTGCTTAATATACAATAAAACAAGGAAAGTTACCCTCCACGCCCTTCAGTTCCAAAATCTTCAGAGAATATCAACTGTACATTTCTAATATACTGCCTTGACCACAAGGGCTCAAAAATAAGATTGGAGAAACGGAGAACAGATAGATTTTCCACAAGTTCCTTTCCTAGATAGTGGTCTATCCTGTAGAAAGAATATCAATCTAATCAGAGTCCACATTCTTTGCATAACAAGCACCAATCATGGGCAGGCAAACTTCACCTGAATATTTGATCCTCTGCAAGGTACTGCTTCAGGGCTCTTGTCAGTGCAGCAGAAGATTCTGAATCTCGACCAAAAGGTTTCTCAACAATGACCCTGGTCCAACCATTGCCAGATGAAGCTGACAAGCTTGCACATTTCACAGCATCGATAAAAATATTTGGAGGGATAGATAAATAAAATAGGCGATTAGAAACCCTCCCACCCTGCATGAACAATTTCACATCAGCAAACAGAATTGAATTTTCAAATTATGAAAAGAATAATAAAATTAATTCTATCCAGGAAAAGAAAAAGTATAGTAGGGCACAAGCAGATCCTCCTACACTACTTGATCTTAAAGAAGAAATATAACACTTAAATGAAACATGTGAAGTATTTATTGCAACTCCATACTTGGAGGGCATTAGCTAAATATATAGGCTGTATTGTTAGAATGTTCTCATGACACCATTTCACAAGCCCAGAAAAGATAATGATTGTCCAGTCATCGATTGCCTAGATAAAGGTTAGTCAACAATTAGTCAACAAGATATATGGATACTGACTTATGTACAAGTACCATGGTTATTTAACAGAAACAGAGCGAAAATACTTCACATTATCCAATCCACAGATTAAAATTAAACTCGAGAAAGTGTCAAGCTGCTTTAGCACAAACTTAACTTGTCTGTAAAAGTGGAGAAATAGGTGAATATTGTGCTCAATGCATCATTCACAAATTTTGGTCTAAACTCTTTAATCCCACCAAAACATTGAATCGAACAAAGATCACAGACAGCAAGCCAGAATTCGTTTCAACATTACAACCACCCTCCCCCAAGCAATGGTATGAAATTCCAGTTAAATAAACCAAAACCTCATTACCTCATGCTCCTTGAGCTTCTTGTCTAGCTGTGCAAAATTTTCCTCAGAATCATACTGACCAGAGTGGTAGAAACATCTTTTAAGAAATTGGTCCATCTTTTCACCACAATTCTCCCTGGAATTACATATCAAACCTCATTTAAGTTTTATAAGCAATTAAAAGCGACAATTAAATCCACCTATGGCCGCATGCAAGCTTCAAGTAACAAAGAAATGATAGAAAATGAATCACCTTTTATCAATTCTGCAGGTCAGGGTCTTGCTCACCATGTTCCTAAGTTCTGCATCAGTCATCTTACTCCTGGCATAACCATAGACGGTAAAGTGCTGCAAGGAAATAAACCACATTTCTGACATTAATTAAATTACAACAATAACCAGATTAAAGTTGTAGGCCGTTTAGAAGACAATAATAAGGTGACACTTTCGGATACAAGAAACAAAAAATGTAACCTTAGGAAGACAGTCTTCGTAGTAGAGTGCAAAAAGTGCAGGAAATATCTTCTTTTTTGCAAGGTCCCCAGAAGCCCCAACCACTGTGATACTGACAGTTGACTCATTTTCATTGATATCAAAACATCCTTTCTCATCCCATTCCTCTGAAGATGTAACCGACAACAATTCATTTTTCAATTTCTTGAGAGGAGTTTCTTTTTCCACCGGGTTAACTTTTGTGGCCACTGCACCTATGCATGAAAACCATTTATATATAAAAGATTTAAAATCAAAGGAAATCGACAAACCTTGCTCGTATAAGAAAAACATCCATCTCAGTCATATAAATTGGAATTAAGCTAATTGCTAATCAAGTTAAGGCTTTTCCTCAATCCCCAAACATATTAAAGAAATGATAATTTTGTCCAACATCTTTGGCACGCATTCCCTTGCATTCAGAAACCAAAACAATAAATCAAAACAAGAAAGAAATTGAAAATATATCAAACCTAAACGAACCCATAAAATAAAAATATATAAAATGAAGGGAAAAAGACCAAGATGAAAAAAGAAAGAAAGAAAGAAACTAACCATCTTGCATGAGAACAGCATTTTGATGGGAACTTGTTTGAGATTGAAGAAAGAACTTGGCTTCAGCTGGAACAGACAATCTCGGAAAAGAAGAAGAGAAAGCCAAGCGTTGATTTTTCCCTCCCTTTATAGATGACGGATAAGAATATGAAGGACAATGCGTTGAAGAAAAGGTTGCCATCTCTACCAAAACTCGCTGCTGAATAAGCTCTCTGTTTCTTCAATTTTGTTGAGTCACGAAAACAAAGGCAGAAAGAGAAAGAGTATTCATGTAAAAGAGAGAGAGAAATGGAAAGTGGGAGGAGTCAGAGTTTTTGAAGGGGGAAACACAGAGGCTAAGACAACCTGGGAAACATCGAGGGGGTAAGACCCTTGAGATCTCCGAAAGGGCACTTAAGATTTGCCTAACAATTCTCAGAGAAAAGAGAAGAGTGGACAAATTGCACTTTAATTGCTTTTATTTTATTTTTGGTTGTTGCTTGAATAACTGGTTTTTCGACATGTTTATAACTTTGGTAAGCTGGGCCAAATCCAATTTTTAATGCATTTGGGCTGAGTTAGGGAATAATTAGTGAAAATATTATTTAAAAAGTTCATAAATGATTAAAAAAATTAAATAAATTTTTTATTTTTTAATTATATTTAATTAAAATTTTATATTTTTATTTTACATAAATAAGTTCTTTTGATTAATAATTAATTAATTATTATTAATTAAAATATTAATTGTTATTTTATATCACATGATATGCAAATGTGTTATATGGTTGATGATGTGGTATACTGATGCAACATAATAATATGATTATGTAATATTTTTATCTTTATGATAATGTTATGTTATTGTCATACAAATATATAATAATAAATAATATTTTAATGAATGATAATTAATCAATTGTTAAATATAAAAATTTATTTGATCCAAAATAAAAATATATGATTTGATAAAATGCAATAGAACAATAAAACTTTATTTAAATTTTCTTAAATAATATAAGAACCTTTTTAAGCATTGTACCTAATTAGCATTTTAATGGGCTGAAACTGCTAAACTTTCCCTAAAATGTTCGATAAGGGGCTAAACAAAACCTCTAGTTTAATATTTCTTCAAATTAATCAAAGCTTGAATTCTATACTCAAATTAAAATCAAACTTGATAAATGATGAGGTAAATAAGTCCCAAGTCTGGAATGCTTGATGAGGATAAAGTTCATAACTTAGAGCCTTATTTGAATCCCAAACCCAGTTGCAATATCCGGTGTGTGGGGTGGTGGCCTCCCATTTGGCAATTGGCAAATCTTGTTTATCTGCTTGAGCACATCTAGGAAACTAGGTTGAGTAGACGAAGATTTCATCATTTAGAAAGTAGAAATCCATGACAATCCCCAACCATGCTCCATCCTATGCTTTTTTTCTTTTTATATTTCTAGAATTTTTTTTTAGATTTAAAGAAATAGAAATTCGAATCTTATCTTTAAGTAGGAAAATTATGTACTATTGAGTTAGCTAAATACTTGGATGCAATTGGTAGGAATTATAATTAAATATACCTCTTTTTGATATAATCATTGAATGAGATAATGGTTTATTTATTTATTTATTGACATTTTCTTTCTTTCTTATCAATGGTACTAGTACTAGAAGTCGATTTAGTTTGGGTAACATTTGAAAGTTTTCAAAACATTTTCTCAAGATGCATGCCTATGCACCTTTTGTAAAATACTTGGAGATAGAATATATCACAATTCAACAATTCAACTTTTATGTAAAGTCATAAATGAAGGTAGTGAAATGAATCTAAATACAAAAATTGTCTGAAAAAAGTCAATCAAATTTGAATTGATAATAAAACTAACATCTCAAACATAAAATGATCCAAATTTGAAACAATTTGAATTTAAAATGATCTAAGTCTAAAATCATTCCGATTTAAAATCATAAAAACTTGAACTTACTAGTAAAAATGTAAACTTTAATTACCTACAAAATAATCTGAATTTAAAATTATCTAAATTTAAAATCATTCGATTCAAAATCATAAAAACTTTAACTTAACATTAAAAATGTAAAATTTAATTACTTACAAAGATTCATTCTAACTTGAACTCAACCCAAACTCAAAAAAACTAAGTACGAACCCCTGCGTATGCACCTCTAATCATAAATTGTTAGTCTCTATTTCTTCTGAAGAATTAATGTAAGTATACAATATACTTTTCAATCTCTAGACTTGACTCTAACTAGGCTAGAATATGTGACTGATGCGTTGTAGGTGTGAAGCTGATTAATGAGACTTGAAATTGGTAGATTTGAAAGGCAGAAACCATGGAGCAAGACTGCCCCTTCAGTATGTGCGTCGGTCAGCTCATACTTGTACATAAGCAAGCAGCAACAGGCGGGAATGTGTGGGCGGCCGTTAGGACATAGGAAAGGAGAAAAGGGCAAAAGAAAACAAGGGATGTGCGTGTGCAATGGTGCAAACGAAACTATTAAATTAGGAAGGGCATGAAGCTTACAGGACCTGTCAGTTCAACTGGTTCCAAAGTGCTGCGAACAGCAGGGGGAGTGAACCCGACCAGGGATTTGCTAAAAGAAGCACTTTGTGTTTCCGCCATTAGGAACAAAAGAGCAAAACAATACCTCTCCTCGGTTATAAGGTAGCCTTTTTCTAGGGCAGTAGTAATCTATGATGATCCTGACAGTGAATGATGCGACTGGTTGCCTCAGCATCAGCATGCACCTCTAGACTCTAACAAAGGATGGAGGCTTTAGGTCCTTGCCAAGTAACAACGCTAGAGAACCAAGCCCCACTCACATCCTCAATCCCTGGGCCTATAAACAGTAGTTTCCAACATTTGCCCAGAGTAAAACCCTACCACTACGTTTTGATGATTGCATATCAAGTTAATAACGGAAACAAATAAAAATTATTTCTATATATTAACTTAATATATTAAATTAAATAAAATAAATAAATTAGTATAAAACATATCCAATATAAAGTTAAATTAGATTATTAGTGACAGATTGATTTCGCATTTCGAGAGGAAGCAAACAAGAGGTGGGTCCATTGTGAGGTCTTAGAACAATGATGCTTGGAGAATAATTTCATTGCAATAAATTTTACTTTAGCCCCAAAATTTATTAAAATTAGTTGTTGACTAATTGTTGTGGAGATATCTCACCTAACAAAAAAATTATCGTAGAAACAAATCTATAAAATTTTTAAAAAAAATGTATATAATGAAATTTTAAAACTTTTGGAAAGGGTAAGAGTGTCTACTAGCCCCCATTCCCTCTGCCATGTATATGATGAAATACAAACATAAAAATTCAAAATTTTAAAGCTCTTTTTATCATTAGGACAAGGAAAATTTTCATTAATGCATAATGTCAAAATTCATCCTCCAATTATCACAAAATTTATATCCTTATTCTTTTTATGTAGAGAATTGAAACGTCGTTCTAGTTTTTTTCTTACTCTAAGTTTTTTCTAGTTTTTTCCTTACTCTAAGTTTTTTCTTTTCATTTAACTATAAACCCTATTTGAATGGATAAAATTGATGTGACTAATGGCTCAATTAACTTGTTTGTACTGATATCCACATGACAAATTTGGATGATATGGTTATCATTAATTAAATAAATTATATTTAATATTCAATTAAACTTAATTATAGTATCATTAAAACAATATAAATACAGATTAAAAAATTTAATTTTTATCTATTAAGTTAATAATACAAACTATTTAGTTAAAGTTGTTATATAATACTATTATATATGTATATATATAGAGAGAGAGAGTTTAGATTTCTCAATACACAATTTAGATTTTCATATAACTTATACTATATTATATAATACAAGATTTTCTTCTAACATTATCTACAACTTTTGCTCATCATTATTGCCATTATCACTATTGCTTCCATCACTAGCACATCCACCAACCACCACTTGCTTCCTTGCCGCCTTCTCGCCATCTAAAAGTTGTTGCATAAGATATGAGGCTATATGGAGGTGGTGCTATGCCAAGTTTCAAGATGGCTCGACCCTCGAGCATAACCAAGCCATCAACGTCCTCTTCTTTTCTAGCAAGTTACTAATTGTTGCAGTAGTGTAAAGGAGAATTAATTTAGAATATGAACCACACGCAAGAAAACTTACACCAATAGCTTGTGTGCACCAGATAGCCTACATGAGGGGGTTTGATAGCTACTAAGAAGAGTAGTAGCCAAGTAAAGTGTTCTAAGATAATTAAAGTACTTTCTATATTTAAGTTTTTCTTGCTTGTTGATTGTTTTACTTACACAACAAATAAACCTAGATTATAGGATATTTACCTTATTTTTTTTACCTTACTAGCACTTCAAAGAAGTCTAGGATTATAATACTTTCTTATCTACTTTACTTGCATTACAAGTAAGTTTAGATGGACTATCTCTATAAATAGTCTTTTTATGTTTCATTGTAAAATTGAATGGCGTTTCCTTAATTTCATTTTCCATTGAATAGGGGTTTCCTAAATCCATTCTTTATGAACATGGTTTTCTTGATTTCATTCCTTTTGAACAGGTTTTTTTAATTCCATTCTTTTGAGACATTTTATGGTATCAGAGTAGGTTTCTAACCTAGCCTTTTTTCTTTTTCTTTTTAACTATGACGTTGATCTAGCTATGGTAAAGTGATGTCCTTTCCCTGTGATTTGTTCTCCGTCAAGCTGCTTGGGTGCCATACTTGATTTATTTTCTGTCAGCTACTTGGGCAGTGTACATAATTTTTCTCCTCCAGTTGTTAGGGCACTATATGTGATTTATTCTCCATCAATTGTTTTGATGCTTTACATGATTTATTCTCTATTGGTTGCTTTAGCGTCGTACATGATTTGTTTTCCATCGATTGCTTCAATGCCATACATGCTTGATTCTTTGTCAGCTGATTCGGCACCGTACATGGTTTTTTTTTGTCGACTATTTTGTCGTTACACAGGATTTATTATATCGTCAACAAGGATTTAAAGGGGTTACCCATGCAAATACTGCAATTGGAATATGGCTCAATTTGACAGAGCGATTTCATTAGGGAGCACTCCTAGTATATGAATTAAAGCAATCTATTGCATTAGTACAAAAGACACATTTAGAGTCGGAAGTGTTCATAAGATAGCCAATGAAGAGCTACCTTAAATGAACCCACGAAACTAGTGGGGATCAAGAAAAAGACTTGTGATGGAGAAAGAGCACAAGGCAATGAGGGTGTTACCTAAATCAAGTGGGGGGACAATGTTGCAATCCGTGAATCTGTGACCAATTCAAGCAAATGGAAGGCTCAGACCAACAATACACCTATGTGTCGCACATGCCACAACGGCTCACATTAGCTATGGGGTGACATTACTTATGGGCCCATTGACAACCAACATTGAACCACCATTGACTGAGGGTTTCTTGATAATCTGC